TGGCTAGTTCAAAATTTGATGTTTACCTTATTATGAATATGGAAGGGCTATTGACACCTTAGTCATATAATATCAGATAATTATTTTATCCTTTCTTACAAAATTTTGTGTTCCCAGGAATTTAAAAACAACCTGTTTTTTTATTTGTAGTTTTCTATAGACTTATTAGTTCAATCCCAAACTGTCCTCTAACTGTAAAATTCCCTGTCTCTGTGTTAAAATCTATTCGGTAGTCTAGTCATTTAATCTTTTTGAAGAAATCACTTCTGAGACTTGTCAATGACCTGTAACCAAAGGCCACTAGGAACACATTTGTAGCTGAATGAACCAAGTTTGTTACTCGTTGCAGTAAGGGAGAACACACACCATGAGAAATGGTAGGATATCTCAATAGAGGGGATTAAAAAAGACTGATTTTGTAGATTGGACAATGTTTATGGTTTTGTCTGTGATAGAACATGAATACAGTATGGTCTTGTTTTTGTCTATGATCATAGAATGCTCTTGTCTGATGGTGATTTTCTATGAAATTGTGTTCAGCAAGAGAACACTAAGGCCTAGCTGTGAGTGCCAGGTCAGCTCCTGGATGTCAGGGGCTGCTTTTCCCATTCTTGGCCTTCTGATCCATTACAAATTGGTCTCATTGATCTATAGCGTACTCCCCAGCTTTTATCTTAGGAGACTTACTTCATCATCTTGGTGATTCCCTTCATCCTTCTTCTATGTTGGGTCTCCTATTTCATGGATCTCTTCTATTTCTCTTTCATGGCTTACTCTCTCTCTTTTCAGTAGCTTTTTCAGAAAAGATAAATGGAAAGTAATTTTTAAAGACCTTATATGGCAGAAAATGCATGTTAGAATACCTTGCATGTCAGAAAATATTTTAACTTCACACTAGCTTCACAGATGACTAATAATTGAACTAATTATGTAATTTGGGGTTGGAAATTTTTTTCACATAATGAAGGCATTGATCAATTGTCATTTAGCTTCTGGAATCACTATTAAGAAACTTGGTGTCACTCTGATGCTTGATCTTTTGTTTAAAGCCAGTTTAGTTTTATTTTTCATATTGGAACCTTACAGGATTTTTTACTTGTCTCCAGAATTTTTAAATTTCAGAATGTTGTTCCTACTTGTAGGTCTTCTGTTTTTATCCATTGTGCTGGATACTTGGTGTGTATAGTAACATATGACCTTCAGTTCTGAGACTCTATCTTGAGTAGTTTCTTTAATTTCATCTATTCTTTCTTTTGGGGACTCCTATTATCTAGATGTTGTACCTTTTAAAATAGTCTTAATTTCCTTATCTTTTTTCTCTTATTTTCCATTTCTTTGTTTTTTGGACTTGCCACAAGGGAGATTTACTCAATTTTTCCTTCCAATTCTATTTAATCATTCAGTCTGCTAACACATTTTAAATTTTTCATGAGCTCTTTTTTCTCTTAATGTTTCTTTTTTACAGTATCCTTATTCTTACTTCCTACTTTCTCTTATTTCACTGAAAATATTAATGATAGTGTTTTTTTTATTTTTCTTCTCTCTGCATAGACTTTATTTTCTGCAAATTTCATTTTCCTGTTTTTTGTTTTTTATTTGTATGTTTGTTTTTGCCTCTTTTCTATTAAAAACTTTATTCAAATATCTGGTGGTCCTTAGCTATCTTTTTATATTTAAGAGTAGGATACCATAAAGCCAATTGGATGCTGTTTCTGGGATGAGGCTTGCCACTATAGGCTAATCTAGCTAGAAACAAATATATAAAGAATGGCCTTTAACTAAAGAGGAGATTGCAGTAAAATGCTCTCAAGTTGTTCATATTTTAATAAATAAGTGCCGTTTATATTAGGGCACTCCTAGCTATTATGATCATAAAATAGCACTCATAGAACATAAAACTAACAAAAATGAAAATGAATTCAAATCCTCTTCCATCACTGATTTCAAGAAAAATCTATATTTTTGTCCTAGTACAGTTTCAGTGAGAGACTAACTTCCTCTTTGACCTTATGACTTGTAATTAGCCCAGCCACAGTCCTACAGTGGTTGGCAGTACTTGAAAATAGGAGTGGGTCAGGCCAGTTACTCTCAACTTGAATGAACATTTCAGACTTGGATACAATCCAAAAAGGAAAGAGATAAAAGGTAAACATGAAGGGCTCTGGCTATTTTTGAGAATTTGCTTTCCCCTAGAGACTGTCCCAGAAATTCAAGCCACAAACCTCATGAAAGTTTGAAATATTTTAGAAAAATATCAAAGCCTTAAAGAAACTGAGGTTCACTAATATCAAATAATTGGGATGTTTACAGCAACAGAATAATGTCTAATTTCTCAACTTTTATGAAAGTTACTGATGCTTCTTTGTGCATTGAAAATGTCAGGAAGAAAAGATTCCAAACTATTAACAGTGACTCCTGGGAAGTAGCATTTGAAGTAGAAGTGGGAAGCAGAGATGTTTAATTGCTTACTTTAGACACTTTTTAATTGTTTGTTTCACTACGATAAACACATATTATTTTTTCTAAGTATGAAATTCTACTCTATAAAAATCAAAATAAAGACTTAAATAAGCTTACAAAACTTGCTGATGTTTCCAATTTAGGGCTCAAATGTAATGGTAAATATCTCAAATCTCCAGTATTAGAACATAGCTGAAAGATAACTAGAATCAATTAGGTTGGCAATTTGGTTGCAAGAAGTAAGAGAAACTCAATTAGGTGACTCAACTACATAGAGTTTGTTTTAGTCACATAATAAAAAGTCCAGAGATAGGCACAGCAGATACTTTTGTATAATGAAAAGTCCAGGATCTTCTTAGCATCTTTTTTCGTCATCCTTAATGTGTATGGGTTTTTTTTCCAAGGTCATTTCACATTTAAACATAAGATCATACAGAAGTGGGAAAGAGCAGAGAATGAAAGGCATATGACAGCTGACTTGGCTGACTCTGTCTTTTTAACAGGAAAAGAGTATTTTTCCAGGAGCCCTATCCAGAAGACTTCTATTTACATTCCATTGGCTTGTCCCAGATCACATGGAGTCTGAGGAGTCCTGGATACATTACAGCACTGAACAAAACTGAGGTTCTGTAAGGTCAAAGTGGAGCATGGATATTGTCTAGAGCAGGCAACCAGCAGGCTCTGTTATCAGTGGCTCACCTTGTTACCTCTTCCACAAACCAAGAATACTTAATTTCTGCTTAAAATTAGAGGATTGGGTTTATGGAGAATTGAGAAAGGCATCAGAAAAGATATCAGAAAAAAAATCAATAAAATTCATTGCAGTATTATTTGTACTTCAAAACATTGGAAATATTGAAACTAAGAAAATTTGTCAGAAGCTTTTAGTTAACAGAGTAGCTGGTGATTATGATCTCATCATATCTTCTATAAAAGCCTTATTAGTGTCCCTGGTCCCAGTTATCATTTATGTACAGATTTGCCTATACTTGGAAGCAAAGCATTTAGAGCAGCCCTCTCCTGGGTACCTGTGGCAGAGAATCAGACAGGGACCAGGGACTTCCTCTATCTTGGAAAAATTAACTCCACTTTCTAGAAGGAGAAATCAAACTCTTCTTTGCTGGCTTCTTCACTCTTCCATGAAATCATCTCTGATTATTCAAGTCTATGTTGAGCTCTCCCTTTTCTGACTTGCTATAGCAATTATCTGCTCATCAAAACCACAAATTCTGTATGTTGTTATATGGATTTTACAAGACCATGTCTAAGTCCAGTGTGTGCTCCTCAACAGCTAGCTCTCCATGGTAGGACAGGCCCTGGAATGCAGGATGCCTTTGGGCATTTGAGGGTAGGAAAGTTGCTACTAAAGATACACAGGTTCATGGATGTTGGAGCCTTCAAAGACACCTTTTAGCTAGTTTAAAAGAGCAGCATGAACCTTAGAAAGATGCTGTTAGATAACCTTTAAATCACTAAACAGTATAATATTTCCTTCTTGGGACAAATTTTAACTAATATTCTGGGTGCCTAGACGTGTGTGCTGTCACAATAAAAGGTAAACCAGATCAGATTGTAGTCATGTGCTTTTAGTATAAAGATTCAGCTCTAAACGTGCTCTAAGTCAAGTATGCTGCTGTCAGCACTCCACGTTAATCCTTCTTGTATCCTGGGGTGGTATTTCCCCAGCAGCTGCCATGTGTCTTCCTCCTCTCTTCGCTTTTCTCCATCATAAAGAATCTGACAAGCTCATTCCTAATTAAGGAAGCAAAGGCTGTTGTAATGAAATGTTGCCTTCTCCCCAAAGTACTTTAATGGAGGAGAGAAACTCAGTAGAAATGTAATGATGGAATTTCTGGTATCAACGAAGAAAGTTAAGACACTTTTCTTTTTTGTAAGAAATTTCCAGCTACCCATCAAACTACTACATAAGAGTAGCCAACTAGTCTCACTGTTAATAATAATAATCTATAGGATTTCAAAATGAATTCACACTTTATAAGAATATAAATATTTGAGTATGCATGTTTCTAAAGTGCTGAGTGATCAGTTAGAGGGGCAGTAAAGTGTTAGGATCCTGGGCTCTAAGTCTAACCACCTGGGTTTATACCTACACCATTGAGGCAAGTTGCTTAAATGTCTTGTTCCTCATTCTCATCTGTACAATTAGAGATTTAAAAATAACATACCTCATGGGGTTATTGTGAAGATTAAATAAAACCATACATATTAAGCACTTAGAAACTTTCTTGACACATAGTCGATGCTTTATAAATATTAGCAGGTATTATTAGTAAGATTTATTTTATGTCTAAATGAATGAGAAATAGTATATTTGCAGCTAGTAAATTATAGGTTTGGGGCAGGTCTTTCTATTTTAGTTTTCCATGACTTTATAAAGAATATTCACCAAATAGACAGTTCCTATAAGATTGAGAATCATAATTTGCCCACCATTTTCAAAAGGTACATGATGGGGTTCACTCCATGACCTTGAAGATTTTTTTCTTGTATAAATGCCTGTTTTTAATTTCAATTTCCAGATGGAAGCTATCCCTAAAGATGATTCTGCATTATCTGAGAGAAGGAGAGAACTCCACAAGGAAGTTGAAGTAGCTAAAAGGAATTTGACCCAGCAGGTTAACATCAACTCTCATTTAAACTTCTAAGAATGATTAATACAGAGTTGTTGAGTGTTTAACAGTGCTCCACAAAACCTCATCTGTGGGAGAGTCATCAAAGATAGTAATGATACAACTTAATATGGGTCTGTTTCTTCATCTTAAAGTCCACTCCAACCTCACATTAAATTTTTTGGGGAAAAGGCTGTGTTTGAACCAGCAAAAATTATACAAATTGGTGAGATTTTTTAAAATAAAAAAGCTATTGATTATATTAAAAATAAACAATAAATGTTTTATTTCACCAATGTCTAAAATGTTCAAATTTTGTTTATTTAAGCCACTGTCAAAGTATTTTTTAATTTTTATTTTTCTATTGGAGTTGGCATTCATTATTATTTTTTATTAGTTTCAGGTGTACATATAGTGGTTAGACATTTATATAATTTACGTAGTACTCCCCCCGATTAGTCTAGTACCCACCTGGATACTATACATGGTTATTACAATATTATTGACTATATTCCCTATGCTGTACTTCACATTCCCATGACTGTTTAGTAACTACTAATTTGTACTTCTTAATCCCTTCACCTTTTTGACCCAGACCCCCAAAACTCCTCTCATCTGGCAATCACCAGTTTATTCTCTGTGTCTATGAGTCTGTTTCTCTTTTGTTAATTTATTTTGTTCTTTAGATTCCACATGTAAGTGAAATCATATGGTTGGTATTTGTCTTTCTCTGTCTGACTTATTTCACTTAGCATAATACCCTCCAGGTACATCCATGTCATTGCAAATGATAAGATTTCATTTTTTTATGGTGGAATAATATTCTATTGTATATATGTACAACTTCTTTATCCAGTCATCTATTGATGGGCACTTATGTTGCTTCTGTATCTTGGCTATTGTAAATAGCACTGCTGTCCCTCTGCCGGAGCCCAAGGTGAGTTTCTGTGAGCAAGTGAGTCTGTGTACAGACCCTTTAAGTGGATGTCTGGGTTTCCATCAGCCTTTCATCTCACCAGAATAGTTAGAAGGCCCACTCATTTTTACAGCCAGATTCTGTGGGGACTTCTCTTCCCAGCACTGGAACCCTTGGCTGGGGAGCCCTGGTGTGGAGTTGGGGTCCCTCACTCTTCCAGGGGGAGCTCTATGGCCAAAATATCCCTCCTGATGCTCAACTACCACTCGCAAGTGTGGGGCCAGCCTGTTTTGTGTCTCCACCCCTCCTACCAGTTTTGATGTGGCCTCTTCTTTATATCTTTAGTTATAGGACTTCTGTTCAGCTAGTCTTCAGATGGTTCTCCAGATTGATTGTTCTATAATTTAGTTGTAATTTTAATGTGGTCATGGGAGGAGGCAAGCAATCTTGACCAGAACTTCCTGTCAAAGTATTTTAAAACATGCTTTTATGTCTCTTCTTTTTCTTAAAGTTACTTGAAAATACAGTCTAAATAAGAAAAGTTATGTCATGTTAAATATATTATCACATTTGGACATTCTTTTATAGGATAAAGAAAATTCTTGGAGCTAGGGCAATAGTTTTGTTTTATGTTTTAATAATACAAATTCTACATAGGAAATAAAAAAATAGTCTAATGGTCTAAAACCACACTAAAAAATGGTTTTAGTGTGTTTCTTCAAACAAATTTTAATATGTTGTGTTTTTCAAGAAAATCCTATCAGATGCAGAGTCTAAGTTAGTAGAACAGCAACTTGCAGAAGAAAACAAGCTTTTAAAGGAGCAAGAAAACATGCGAGAACTAGTATTTGGCCTTGTCCGTCTGACTCAAATCAAAATTGATGAGAAGGAGCAAAAATCCAAGGATTTCCGGAAAGCTCAGGTATCTGTGTTTTTGTAACCATTCATTCATTACTACAAGAGTTTGGGGTAGCCTCATTTTAACACAATGTTCATTACAAAGCTATAATTGTTAAGTCTCCTTCAAGTTTCCATAACTATACAGCTTCCCAAAACAAGACTCAATCATACATTGAAAAACAGTCCTAGGATTCAATTAGCAGTAGTCAACAATCTAGAGAGAGAAAGAGCTAGATAAATCATAATGAGCAGAGTATTTGAAGAGATGACAATTTCAGTAAGAATAAAGTGGCGGATGTGACTGACAGCTGTACAGGCCACAGATATCTCACATCCTACTGTGATTTGCCCAAGAACAACTCAAGAGCAGAAGCATTAGACCTTTCTTTTCCCAAGTTCATCAAGCCAGTATCATTTAAACCAGTGTGAGGATACCCTTAGTTACTGCTCCACCCCATGACTTTCCTGGGCTCTCCACAAAGTATCAGAGCTGACCCAGTGCAACATCCCCAAACCAAAACAACAATGAAACCAATGGGAAAAACAAACGTCCTGCCATGCTAGCTAAAACTCTAATATTAGAACCATTTATTCCTCTTAAGGATTATGTCTAGAGGTTCTCTGTGAAAAACGAATATGATATGATATATTACTAAACTAGAAAACCTGAATTTACCCAGATGTTGGCTGTTTCTAAGTGCAACCTTTGTTCTAATTTTGAGCAAGTATTTACATGAAGTAGCATTTCTTCTTGTTTTTCAGAAAGAACTCACATCAAAGCATTAATGAGCAATGAGATTAAATAAGATTTTGCAGAGAAGACTGAGGAAATGATCTACACCACACAACCCCAGCAAACTCTTTAAGTCCCCACATTAATTGTTTATTTTTCCCTCATTGGAACATGAGAGAAACTAAAAGGAGTTTACTATTGTTGGCCCAGTAGAGTTCAGGGGATAGTTGGGTTTCACAGGGTAGAGAAGGGAAAGACAGTGACCAGGGAGGAAGGAAGTAAAGAAAGCAGTCTGAGAGAACAGGGTGGCTGAGGGGAGGAGGAGCACAGGGATACTTGTTACAAGGAACAATGATTTGCTTTATGAATTACACAGTTTTCAAATTAATCTTAAAAATTGATATATATGTTATCTATGTGCAACTAATCTATGTAAACCAAGCCTCATTATTAAATGAGCTCATTCATATAAAAGCACACAGTTCTTTCCCTTGAAATATGGAAATCAATAAAGGAAAAATATTGTTTTTCTTAAGCATTCTTAATAGTGGGAATTAGTCTGTCAAACATTAGCTGTAATAAGTTGTAATTTCCTTAAGGCAATGGTCAATCTTATTATTTTATTTAACGCTTTATCTACATACCTAATAAAACACAAGAGGTAAAGGGAAAAACCAATGCTGCTATTATCTCCAAGATGGAGTGGATGAAACTAAATTTTTATATCTGTTTAATTCTTCACACATATAGTTATTTAAATAATAATAGTTTTTTCTGACTTCCATTCTCACTGAGAGCAACATAAAATTGCTACATGTCCATCTTGGCTCTGATGCCTAGATGCTTTTTAATCACTCATGCCAAATGAGTTTTGCTCTCACAGTCTTCAACAAAAGGCCAACAGAAACTGTTTCCTCAGTTTTCTACCAGCAAATACTTCATCATTGAATATCTTTTTTACCTTAGATGAAGGACCCAGTATCTTTATATTTGAAGAATGTTACTAATGTATTTAGCACTTGGTATATGTCTAGGATTTTAGAACTAAAAGTGCTGTCTTTTAAAATATTCATGTGTAATTCGTAACACCTCCTTATGGCTTATCTCAGTATGGTGCTTCATTGTATAGGAAAACACACCCAAAATACAAAAGAATGGAAAAGTACTTTAAAATCATGGCTTCGGTCTCTCACAAAATACCACAGAGAATTCAACTCATAACGTTTATGAAAACTTACTACAAATCCTCTTCCTTCATCTATCTTCCACAAACTACAAACTCCTCATGCACCTAGCCCAGCTGTGCTATTCACACTCTTTGGTTCCTTCAAATGTTCCCCGAACTTTTCCTCAAACCTATCCTGTGCAGGCTCTTTTCTTTTCCTCTTCTCTGTTCTTCTGCTTCCTTAATTAACCCTTTGTCTTAGTCAATGTGGTTCAGTTAAGCTAGCCAGGCAATTTTCAAATCTCTTTTTCTTTCCCCTGATCTGCAAACCTAGCTGGCCAAGATAGTTTTTTTCCTTAATGGATAGGAATGAGATGGGTGAGACTGGGAGTACTTATATGTTGGCGATGATGGGCTTTTAAAATTATTATTTCACACATAATTTTTATATTTCAGCAAAAATATACCAACATTGTGAAGGAGATCAAAGCAAAGGATCTTGAAATCAGGATACACAGGAAGAAAAAACGTGAAATTCATCGGAGGTAAAAGAATTACATGATAATTTATCCACTTGGGTGGGGTAAAAAAACAGATCTTTATTTCACAAGTTTCAAAAACACTTGTATTTTTACAGACTCAGAGAGTTTGCTAAACTGTATGACACTATTCGAAATGAAAGAAACAAATTTGTTAACTTACTTCACAAAGCTCACCAGCAAGTAAACGAAATAAAAGAAAGGCATAAAATGTCATTAAATGAACTAGAAATTTTAAGAAATAGTGCAGTTACTCAAGAAAGGTAAGTGTTATAATAATTATTGTCCTTTCAAAGACTTTTGATTCATTGAACTCTAAAATATTCCAGTGATAATAAAATAGAAAATAACAGTCTTTTACAAAGCTAGAGAAGCCCTTGCTCAAACACCTTGCTTTACAGATGACAATCTAAGCATCTGAAAGCAATTCCTTATGCTTCTACTGTTTGGGAGCCATCAGTTTTTTAAGTGAATGTAAAACTATAACATATAACTACACTTAGTATGTTTATTTTTACTTACCCAATTAGAAAGAAAAGCACCAGTTTGGTAATTTACATTTAAAGTTAGAAGACAATCAAATGTTTATTAACCAACATCCCCAGTTGTAGATTTGAAGCTTCTAATATGCTTGTGGGAGGCAGTACGGCAGAGTGGGTAAGAAAGGTGGCTTTCTAGACTCAAATCCCAGCCCTGCCACTTAGACCTCGGGCAAACTACCTTACCTCTCTGGGCTCACATTCTTTACCCATAAAAATGTCCTTATTTTATGGGACTTTTTATTATTAAATGTTAATCCATGTAAAAACACTCAGAAGTATCTGGCAAACAGTTGTTTTTTAACTTATTACTTACCATGTGCCAAGATCTGTTGGACTGTTTCACTTATATTTAGAGTCTGTATAACCTGAAAATTTTCTAGTGGCCATTAATGCCCAGTTTCCTTTCACAAAGATATTACAAAATAGGCTCTTGTGTGTGGATAGGGCTGGGATGGGGGTCAATGGGGGAGGGGATTGGTATGAAAAGGAAAATCTAATTTCCTAATCAGGTTCTCATCCTACATCAACATAAAATATCATTTATAAAGGCCATGCATTAATTCAGCATTTATTGTGAAGCTGTATTGAGCCGGGTACCACCTTAGGTCCAATGGACATTTTCAGATGTAACCATCTCTGCCTTTAAGAGAGCAATCTCCTGGGGATGACAGAGCAGTAAGTGAATTACTATAGTCTCTTGCTTTGATAAAGGAGGGCAGCAGAAGGTTGGGGCACAAAAGAAAGATGTCTTAATCCAGATGGAGGGGGAATCTGAGACCTGGGAAGATTACAGAAATTCCCGAAGTGTGATCATGGAAAGTATGATAATCATGATTATCAAGTGATAATCATGATGAATATCATTATTACTACTACTATTATCATTTCAACAGACACACTAAAGCAAGAGCTACATTGATACTACTTTGGTTTCAGAAATCTTCAGTTTTTAAAGAAAACTATTATCTTACCCATTTCCCATTATTTTTAAAGAAAGCTACAAAATTCCATGCTGAAACGTGCCAACAATGTTACCATTAGAGAAAGCATGCAAAATGATGTGTGCAAAATTGTAGTCAAACTTCAGGAAATGAAAGAGAAGAAGGAAGCCCAGTTAAATAACATTGACAGACTTGCCCATATGATCACCGTCATTGAAGAGGAGATGGTGCAACTTCGCAAAAAATACGAACGAGCCGTTCAGCGTCGAAATGAAAGGTAAAAACCAGGAACCTAACATGAAGACAAAGCACCCAGAGATCCTGTTTAGAAATATTGCCCCCTGCTCTATCTAGACTTGACAGTGGGTAGGGAGGGATATTTGACATTCAGATTTTATTAGCCTTGGGGAGGAGGGTAGCCATTTGTTTTGCCTGAAAATGAGAAACTCTGTCCTCATAAGAGAAACAGGCAAGAGTAGAGTTTGGGAAGTTGCTCATTTGAAGGTCAAGATCCTTTCCCAGACTACCATTTAGGATGCCTCTGATACCATCAAATTATTTCAGTAACATTGACATTAATAAAGCTTTGGATTATGTATCCATTTTTTTTTGTGATAGATTTGTTCATATTATAATATTTATTCAGCCATTCTCTCAGTTCTTTTCTGAACAAGTAAGCACAACCTCTAGGAGCAGCATTATTTCTTCCAGGCTATATCATTAATCAATTACTATTAGCAGTTTCCCCAAGTTGCTTATGCTTTGAGAAATCTGGCAGCAGATGGTAGAGCATATAGTAATTATATCTGGTACCTGATTGTTTTCATCAAACCTTGGTTGTGTTCTCATTTATGTAAGTACTGGACCTAGAAAGTACAAAAAGGTGGTAAAGCATTGCTTCTGGCTTCTGTTGTTAAGAAGACTGAGAAGATCACGAGAGGAACAAATGAACAGCAAATGAGACAAAATACAGAACTAAGATTAGCCAAATACAACTATGTACACACATTTGAGAAAGGAGAGAAAGAAAGAGACAGAAGCAATTACAGACAAACTCTGGGATAATGGATATGCACAGTGTGTGGGAAGAAGTTCAGGGTGGTGAAGAATACCATTTTTCAAAGGACTGCCAGGTGTTTTCTCTGGGGAAAAAAATCCTCTTATTTGGCTCCTGTCACAAACTGGGCCCTGTTCAGATCTGTGGGGCTGGAATTAGAAATTTCTTACTTTCTTTTTTCCCCATATTTTCCTCACAAGGAAGGGTTTTTTCCCCTGGCAAGATTATAAATGACAGAATTTTGCATCAGAGATAGTCAATGTTAAGAGAACCTAATGGGCCTGGCAAGTTACATTGAACAGTCACTGTAGAAACACATTCCCTGGCCCTCTGCCTGGGTACTTCTGGCCAGAACTTGTTTGGCAAGTCTGGTCCAAGGAAAGGGTCTGCAGAAAATCAGAATATGGGATAATTTTGTTCATTCATGGGGAAGACATTCTTTCCCACCCCAGGAAAACCTTGGAGACTTGCAGAGGTACTGTGCTAGCCAACCACACGGTCAGCTCAGACCATCCTTCTCCTATTCCCCAGACATTCAAAGTGTGCAGTTTAACTAGAAAACCACTGGTATTTATCTATTGTCTTTTAGAATTATGCAATGTTGTTGTGTATTTTGCTCCCAAATCCGGAGGGAACCACAATGACTAGTGAAACTGTGGCCTCAACATCCTCTTAGCCTTTGCCTCTCAATTTGACCGTAGTGGTGTTCAGCTGATAGAACGGGAAGAAGAAGTGTGCATTTTTTATGAAAAAATAAATATCCAAGAGAAGATGAAACTAAATGCAGAAATTGAAATACATGTCCTGGACGAAAAGATACGATTCCTGAAACTGAAGATTGCTGAGAAGCAAAGACAGATTCATGTGACCCAGAAATTACTGCCAGCCAAGAAGTCCCTGGATGCCGAATTAGCAGTGCTCCAAATTCAGGTGGGAAAGTGTTCATGAGACCCTTCCAGGGACCATTTGCTGATTCTTTTTTCTTCCATTATTGGTTTGTAGGTCACAAAGTTCTTACATGTAAATCAAGCCATGCTACTCCCGGTACCTGCAAGAACCCATGAGTTATATGTCTTTTTAAAAAATGCCTCAGAATATGACTGCAAGGTAGAATCTGTGTGTTAGGCAGCCAAGCCTCAGATTATCTTTTTGTCCCATGAGGCATTTTCTGCCTTTCCTGGAATATAGATCCTCCCAAATCTCAACTCTAGTTCAGCTTCCTTATAGTTCAAAACTTAAGTAATTTTATTACCACTGGCATAATTATGTTTTTGATGCTTGCTGAAAAGATCTTGGAGATCATCTAGCTCTCTTATTCTTACCACTCTTGCCCTCTGGAGCCAAGATTGTTGTTTGGTATTAATTGGCAATCACAATAATTCGACTCCTAGTTAACTCTCTTAGTTTTCCTGTAATTTAATAACCTAACATGCCTTTTAAAAAGTGGAATAAAGCCAGAAAGTTTAAACATTAAATAGCAAATAGAAAGGAAGAAGAAAGAGAAAGAAAGAAAGAAAGAAAGAAAGAAAGAAAGAAAGAAAGAAAGAAAGAAAGAAAGAAAGAAAGACTAAAGCTACTTTCTTCACACGTGACAATTTCATTTTTTCTTAAAGAAAATATAGAAAAAATTAGACTAAAAAATTTGTGGCTTGAACTTTTTTATTGACTTAATGTAAGAATAAATTTTAATCTATAATACATTTTCTAAAATGTCAGGTTTGCTTTCAGATTTTTTCTAATTATAAAATTAAGACATGTTCAGTTAATAAAGTTTTGAAAAATATAAAATTTTTAAAGAAGAAAATAAAATTCTATCCTCAGGATATACTATTAAAATTATAAAAAATCTGGAAGAGAGCCTTCTAGTCTTTTTCTAGGTGTACAAGTAAATGGTTTTCATTAGCTCATGCTGTAAACAGATTTGGGTCCTGATTTTTTTTTAAAAAAATGTAATTATGTCATGGGGAATCACAGGACTTTGTGAAACTGGATGATGGGTCTACTTTCATATGTTGTGTGTACGTGCTATATAGATGATAGGATCTTCCATTTTGCACAAATATACCAAGGTTCTGATTCCAGAGTTTATTTGTTTGTTTGTTTTTTAGCCATACTTTCTCCCATTCACTTCTTCAATAAGCGTAGCCCTGATTTAGATAGATTGGTTGGAACATCCCCCAGGCCTCCCACATAGCCTCCTCAGGATTCCTGCGGCTCTGACTCAGGTTTCCAATGAGATTCATTTGGAGGAATTCCCTCATCACCTTGCACACACAGTGCCTAGTCCACTTGTGTGCCATGTCAGTGCAGACTCAGGACTCGCTCCTTCTTCAGCCTGCACCTTTCATGCAAGGCCTTTGTGAACTGACTTTACTGAAGATTTGGGGCAACACTGCGAGAAATACAAAGAACTTCAAGTTAAATATCAGATATCCATGCCCTTCAAAGTTCCATAGGGCCACTCCATCACTGGGAACAGTCCCCTTGGGTATATTACCCCATGCAGCACCGTAGCCCAGCTCTGTTTCACTGGCTTGTCTTTCCATCTTTATCCCACATTTTCCCTCCCCGTGGCACCTCATACTTTTCTCATTCCATTTTACAGAATAATTTGGCTCTCTCTATCTCTTTCCCAAAACAAAGTTTCAGGGCCATCTTTGCTCATACTAAACTATCAAGATGCCCAGCAGAACAAAAAGACTAAATTCAAGATCCACAACAGAAAAATGCGCTCCCTATTATCTAAATATTTTATTCATGTTAATTGCAAATAAATATTTCTATTCGATGGATAAAATTAGTTGTGCTTAAGATATATATACTCGACATTTTATTTTATAAAAACAGTTTTCTGGTGTGAAATATGAATTCAAGTTTACCCAAGAGGAAATACTATGCATTTAATGATAGTACACACTACCTGATGTGAATCCAAACCATTCTGACTGCATATGAATTGAGACATATGGACTATGTGTTATCATCAGTTACTGTTTTACCAGAGTTAGTTCTAAACTTAAGAATAGTTGAATAGAAAGTTTCCCATTAGTCTTCAAATTCACTTAATTATTGTCTACTGAGCACTACTATATGAGCCCTTTGAAGGACTTGATGTGAAATTTCAAGCTTAAGGCAAGCTATTTTTGCACCTTGACTTGCAGTATCAATTCCTATTATATCCTGTGTGTTAAACTGTAGCGTTTTGTGTGTTTTTCAAAGTCTTCCCATCTTTTGCATCATTTTCGGAATTCTCTTAAGGTTTGTATTTTCTCAGTTGTTTGAAACAGTTTTTAATCATCCAACATTCTAATCCAAGGATTATCATGAGTCATATTTTCCTGATGTTTGTAATAGAGGTTTTTTTTAAGGGGTTTTGGAAGTCATATGAACTATTTTAGGACACGAGAACACTATTTTATATAGAAAAAGTAAACATTTTTTCCTCAAAGGCCATGGGTAAATAAAATCAATCAAGACACCCCTTTGATAAGAAAGCACCATATTTTTTTCCTATTTAATTTCCTAATTAAGAGAAGGAAATATTAAGTGTTGTTAATAATAAATACAACAAATGCTTAATTACATATAGATGTATACTTTAAGTCCCTATTGAGGGCAAAAAATCTCAGTGTGCTGCTATTTCTTCCAGGGAGTGGCCATATTTCTTCATCCACCTCTAAAGTCTCATCAATTCCACAAATATAGTTGGTATAGAAAACATTATATTGGGTGTTTGGCAAAAAGACATAGATAGTTCAAGCTATCCTTTACAGACTGTACATTGTGTTGACCTACTAATTAAGAACTGTATTCTTCTTTGGAAAGCCATTACACCGATTGCCAGCAAAGAGTTTTAAACTGGTCTAGTATGACTTATACCTTGTATGTTGTCTATCTTGGCCTCTGTATTGACCTGAAAGAAAGAGATCAAGTCTGTGTAGTTTGAGCTCTGCAATTCCATAACATTTCATGAACATAACATGAAATGGGAAGTAATCAAAGGACTGGTTATAAAATCAGCTTTGTCTTTGATGACCCAGAAGTCGTCACCTTGCCTTGTAGGGCTAGTTACAGACATCATTCTCACGGTACCATAAGTGAACAGAAGCATTGCTTAACCTCAAGTCCCAGCTGATAAGGTGTTAAGAGTTTTCAGTTTTTACCTGTGTTGGTCATAGTGAAAGATGCTAAAGACTCTGGGCTATGTGATTTTAAGATTTACCGAACAAGAGAGCTAAAGTTCATGTTTCTTTCTTGTTTAATAGTTTTCACAGTGTACAGACAGAATAAAAGACCTGGAGAAACAGTTTGTAAATCCTGAGGATAAGAACAGAACCCGCTTCCTTCCGGGGAAAGATATGACTGAAGAAGAAATGATCAAAAAATTAGATGCGGTAAACATTCTTTCTTAAAATAGCACCTATTAGCCCCTTGTTGATCAGCATCACAGTAACACAAATATGTTTCATGTTATGCAGACCGATTTATCCCTCATTGTTCTAGCCATTAATATAGTCTTTTCCTTGTAATCTAGTAACAAAACCTAAGCTTGACTTTAAACACTTGCCAAAAGAACTAAAAATTGGGTGGTTTCAAGATGACCACCTTTGTCTCATAGCCCAAAGGAGCAATTTTGGCATTTTAAATGGATTCGTTTGTCTTCCTGATTGGAGCATATCAAAGGGAAGTCAATGTGGAAGGTACCATGGAGTGGAAGAGCTCCCAGAGTTATCTGTAGGGATTGGGCATGGGAAGTCTTTACTTAGTCCAGCTCTAAAGACTTTCTAGAGGTAGCTGGGCAACTACAAAAGCAATGTATTTTCATTTGGGTGGGGGGTAGGGAATAATAGTGCTCTAATTAGGAAAGAAGTTTTTGGCTTGCATGACATTTTTCCCCCTTCCTACTGAAATTGTTTTTGACTGTAGCTGGAACTACAGCTGGCCAAGAAGGAGGAGCAGTTACTGGAAAAAGATTTCATCTATGAACAGGTCTCCAGGCTCACGGATAGGCTCTACAGCAAAACTCAAGCCTACAAGCAGGACACACTGCTCTTAGCCAAGAAGGTCTGTCCAAGACCCTGCCTTCTCAATTTTTCCCTTACTCCTCGAATACTGTTCATTTTCCACAGACTATTTATTGAGAGAAACCCTAGAGAGATTTGGCTTTATGACTAGAGAAACATAAAGATGTAAAATTAAAAATTTAAAGATGACTCTTAGAAAATTGTCCAAAATAAGTTTCAATCTTGTTCCCTGAATGAATTCACTTTATGGTGTAAAAACCTAAGCTTTTCAATGACAGTATATAAGTTTCACTTAATCAGGCACATACTCAAATATGACAATTATTATCTTTATATTTTATGTGCCAAGTTAAACCCTTTCTAGTTCCTTTTGGAGGGCTTCACTTATCCAGCACTCTGCATGGGAACTCAACCAGAACCCAGAAATGGAAGGAGACCATTAAAGACAATCACAGTCATACAAACATGGGCCTGTTACACCATGGGGTAGAGCTACTGCCAGGCTCCACTAGTGAGGAAAGTACAGTACATGGAACTTCCTGATTTCATAAGCTTAAAATACTGTACCAGGACTGCTGATTCAAAGCCACAGGGTCAGACTGGGACTTCTAGAAGCTACCTTGAAAAGAGCAGCCAGCAGGAGGGAGGTTTGGTTGATGATGACACAGCAGGACCTTGCACCATAGAGTGGTCAGAGGATTTCCTGGCCTCTGAAGCCTCTTGGAGCATCCCGCTGTGATGGCACAAGGATTTTAGTCAGTCAGCAATAGTTACTGAAACTACTCTGTGCTCCTCTCATGCTAGGAATGGGGGAAGAAACAGAGAGGAGGGGACACATTGTACACATCATCTAGTGTGGGGAGGCAGGCAGGAAAATAGATCATGGTAACACCCACAGCCTGACTATGGGGTCCAGGGCGCAGCAACTGTTCATCATTCTTCTTAGTTTCCCCAATGCCTAACATGTACTAAACCCTATAAAAACATTTGTTGAATAAGTAAACAGTCCTGTTCTAGAAACAGTTCTGGCACACTAAATAGGAAATTATTGTAAATCTCAAGCCTCCTTTGCCATTTTTATTTGGCTTTTACACTTCTGCTCTGATGACTTATACTGGTAGACTGGTCAGTCCAGTGGCATTTGTGCAATTCACAACTTTACCTCATAAAATAAGAATATTAAGACTTTTTTTAGGCTCATGAACTTTGCCTGAGTTACTATGGCCAATGTTTAAATGTTACCTGCCTTCCTTCTTTTTGCAAAATGAATTCCCCTGTCTTTGAAGAAAGTCAGTTTTCGCTGAGAGCTGGCTTGTCAAAGCTGATGGCAGAGCCTCTCTGGAAGTCAACAGTAATGCTAGAGAAAAGCAGTGGTGGCTTCTGCAACTGTCATGTGGTCAGGAAGGTTCCAGTATAGTTGTGTTCTGTCCTGTGATTTACCTCCCCTTTCCTTTCTCCACTTTCTGTGTTCTCTACCTGGCTTTCATTTTTTTAATTTAAAATGATAATCTCATAGTAAGCAGATCTAGAAGATAGGAGGATGTTCAGATCTCGGATTTGAGATTTGCAAATACTAGCAAATGACCTTGAGAAAGATAACAGAAATTATCTTAAAATTGGGTTTCCTGACCTGTGAAATGGGTGTGATGTCAGTTAAAGTAGCAAGCATTACATACTCAAGCAGAAGTGGCCTAGCCCCTGTGGGTGCTCAACAAGGATGAGCGTCTTCTTAAGCCTCTCATCTTTCCCAAATAGCTTATGGTTCCTCTTCCAATTTTCCCAAATGAACAAAAAATGGAAAACCTCAGCAAAAACTTAGAGCAACCCAGATAATGCCATCCTTTTTTTGATTTATAGAGGAAAAGGGAGGTTGGCTGGTTATTCATACACACAACACTCAAGTGTGCAGTGACTGATTAGTGAAATTTAAGAGAGATAATGACTCACCACTGAAGCTTTAAATGGTAATCATTTTTATTCAATGTATGCTTCCTAAAAATTCAGCAGTGTAGAAAAATTTTAAATATTTATATTCTTTATTCCTTATGGCGACAAAGTGTATAAGTAAATCACTAGCAGCAACATTCCTCTAAGCAAATGTGCAGATAGACCAGTGTGTCCCCTATTAGGAGAAGGAGAATGTTTCGAGGTCAGACATAATGTTTGGAAGCTCATATTCATGTCTTGATTTACTCTGATGCAAAGGACTGAAGGATTAAAATAGACTAAAAATTTACCATTTCTTCATTCAACAAACATTCCATTTTAATTTTGCTTGATGCCTCCTATGCTCCCAATCTGGATACTGGGAATATGATGAATAAAATAAATAGTCTTCATCTTCATGAAGAGTAAATTCTTGTGAGATGACAGACTATAACCAAATATCCAAATACATATATACATAATAAAATGTCAAAAGTAGGATATAAATTTAAATTAAAGCAATATAATATTACAGAGTGTTGGCAGGTGGGAGGAGTTACTACTCACTGCCCCACCATGGCTACAGCCACACTAAAAGGCTGTGCAATGGACCAGAAAGCTGAAAGGAACCACTAATTCCAATTTTACTTTTCTTTTAAAACCAATCATTCTACTTAGTCCTAACTTTTTATTTTTTGATGATAAATAGCTAATGTGCGACTTCTGGTCAAGATGGTGGAACAGATAAATGCTGTGCTTGCCTCCCCTTATGACCACATCAAAATTACAACTAAACTACAGAACCATTATCATTGGGAGTTGCCTGAAGTCTAGCTGAACAGAAGTCCTACAAATGGGGACATACAAAAGAGGCTGCCTCGAGACTGGTAGGAGATACAGAACAGGCTGGTCCCACATCCACATATGGCATTGAGAATCAGGAGGGATATTTTAACTGTGGAGATCCCAAAGGAGGAGCAAAGGGTCCCAGCCCCATACTGGGCTCCCCAGCCCAGGGTTCCAATGCTGGGAAGAGAAGTCTCCACATTCTTCTGGCTGTGAAAAAGTGGAGATTGTGGCTGAGTGAGACAGAGGGCAGCTGGAATTCTGGGCATTATTCTTAAGGGGCCTATACACAGACTTACTCACTGATGGATTCACTCACTCTGAGTATCAGAGCTGGGACAGCAGCTTGAAAGGTGCCGGGGACATATGGGGAGGAACTGAATTTTGTCTAACTTCAGGTTGAGGACTGGAGGAATAGCTTTCTCCACAGCTAAAATATCCCTCCTGATTCTCAATGCCAAATGTTTTGTCTTCTCCCAGACAAAACTGCTGAGAGAAGCCTTTGTTTCTTTCTTGTGCCCTCACCCCCAGCATGCAGATACAGGTGGGACGCCACATCTGAGTCTCCATCAACCTGGCTAATACTGGTTGCTCCCAACCCTTGTGATTCCCTGAGACCCCACCCAACTTACAGGCCCACCCAAGCCACTTCCACTGGCTTTTCCATACAAATGGCCTATGTTGGCTCATGCTGTGGACTTTCCTAACTTCTCTCAAAGATTCACAAAATCCAAACAAGAAGCATCCTGCATCAGTGTGCCCCATACCTCTTACTGAGCAGCCAGTAGTAGTGGCAGTGGGCCTCACTTCGCAGCTTGGCCTCTTGAAGTGCCTTAAGCCCGGCTCAGGTGGCAGAAATCTACAGATTGCTTGATAACTCTTGCCAGGTGGCCCTGGGCAGGGTACAAGCTGCGGCTGAACTTGGCCTGCAGTGGGGCCCTTCCCAGGAGGTCCCAGGGTTGGCATACCCTACGGCCAACTTCTGCCAAGCTAGAGCACCACCTAGGGCTGCATCCAAGGACGATGCACCCAAAGAGTAGACTGAAGGCAGGCACCAGAGCCCTGAAAAAGCAAATCCTGCTCCATAGGGTCAGCCTCTCACCAGCTACTCCTCACAACCAATCAGCCTAAGGGTCAATCCCACCACTGATGTGTCAACAGCAACCAAGGCTCAACTACAACAGCAAGGCACACACAGCCCATACAAGGGACATATATAGAGCACCCAGCTCAGGTGACCAGGGAAGACTGTGCCACTGGGACCCACAAAACATCTACTACATACAGCCACTCTACTAAGACCAAGAGACATAGGATCCCTACCTAATACATAGAAACAAACATAAGGAGGCTGCCAAAATGGAGAAACAAGAAATGTCCCAAATGAAAGAACAGAACAAAGCTCCAGAAAAAGAATTAAATGAAATGGAGACAAGCAATCTACCAGATGCAGAGTTCAAAACATTGGTTATAAGGATGTTCAATGAACTTAGGGGAAGAGTAGGTGAATTCAGTGAGAACTTTAACAAAGAGATAGAAAACATAACAATGGAGATAGAAAACAAAGAATCAGTCAGAATAGAAAAAATGCAATAATTGAAATGAATACATTACAGGGAATCAATTAGACAATGCATAGGATCAAATCAGTGTTTTAGAAGATAGCAGAAAACACTCAATCAGAACAGCAACAAGAAAAATGAATCCAAAAAAAAACAAGATAGATTAAGAGACCTCTGAGACAACATCGAGAGTACTAACATTTGCATCATAGGAGTACCAGAGGTGAAGAGAGAGAGCGAGGGATTGAAAACCTATTTGAAGAAATAATAATGGAAAACTTCCCTGATCTTGCAAAGGAAATAAACATACAAGTCTATGAAGTGCAGAGTCCCAAACAAGATGAACCCAAAGAGGCCCATATCAAGATACATCATAATTAAAAACAAAGAGAACCTTAAAAGCAGCAAGAAAAAAGCAATTAGTTACCTACGAGGGAACTCCCATAAGATTATCAGCTGATTTCTCAATAGAAATTGCAGGCCAGAAGGGCTTGGCATAAAATATTTCAAATGATGAAAAGCAAGGACCTATAACCAAGATTACTCTTCCCAGCAAAGCTATCATTTAGAATTGAAGGACAGGAAAAAAGCTTCCTAAATAAGGAAAAGCTAAAGGAGTTCAACACCAAACAATATTACAAGAAATGTTAGAGGGACTTCTTTAAGAAAAAAAGTTCACAAATATAAAATGGCAATAATTACATATCTATCACTGATTACTTTCAATGTAAATGGAGTAAATGCTCCAATCAAAAGACAGAGTGGCTGAATGAATAAGAAAACAAGACCCTTACATATGCTGCCTACAAGAAACACACTGCAGACTGAAAGACACACACAAACTGAAAGTAAAGGAATGGAAAAGATATTTCATGAAAATGGAAAAAAAAAAAACTGAGGTAACAATCCTCATACCAGACAAAACAGACTTTAAATGTTATAATGAGACAAAGAAGTACCCAGTAATCCCACCTCTGGGTATTTATCTGAGGAAACCCAAACCACTACTTTCAAGGAATATGTGAATCCATATGTTCATTGCAGCATTATTTACAATAGCCAAGATATGGAGGTAACCTGAATGTCCATCAATGGATGAATGAGTAAAGAAGACATTATACATTTATACAATGGAATATTACTAAGCCATAAGGAAAGAAATCTTGCCATCTGCAATGACATGGATAGACCTAGAGGATATTATGCTGAGTAGAATAAGTCAGAGAAATACAAATGCCATATGATTTCACTTACGTGTGGAATCTAAATAACAAAATAAACAGAAACTCATAGATACAGAGAACATTTTGATGGTTGCCACTTAGGAGGGGTTTTATGGAGGGTTGGTGAACAAGGGGAAGGGACTGAGAAATATAAATTGGTAGTTACAAAACAGGTATGAGGATGTAAAGTATAACATAAGGAATATAGCCAATAATATTGTAGAAACTATGTACAGTATCAGATGGGTACCATGTGTATCAGGATGATCACTTCATAAGTTATATAAATGTCTAATCATCATGTTGTATACCTGAAACTAATATTATATGCAAATTATAATTGAAAAATAAAGTTGATTTTAAAAAGACAGCAAAAAAAAGACAGTTAAAAAAATACATATGAAATGTTCTGGAACCTCAAAGGCACCACACACTTAAAAGGGATTATTATTATAAAGCAGAAAACTCTTAAAACAAACTTTTGGCCTATCACCTGGTTCCCAGGGTGTTTTAGGTAAGCCATTGTTTGCACAGTGGTGTAATGCTCTTAATTTGCAGCTGCATATCTTACCTTTTAGGTGGCACCTTGAGTCTAGCGTGTGCCTTTCAAGTCTCTTTACATAACTTAGACATGATGGATGCTTAATAAATGCTAGGTATACCGATGGGATTTAGGCTTTCTATGCATCTGTCTTTCATGTTTTTGTTGCAATGTTTTTGAGTAATCTGGAGACCTCTTAATGAGAGTAAAAGCCTTTAAAATTTTCAAAAAGTCCTGAGATCTCTTCTAATTCTTATTTTCTATAATTTCCCACTTAACCTTTCCTTCCTTCAGGGAACAATGCCCCACCCCGCACCACCACCACCACCATTATAGACAGCCAGCAGTTTGCCATTTTCTTCAACTCTTCATGGAATGTATACATAGGCTAAGTCTTGGGCTCTCTAATTCTAGATGAATGGCTACCAGAAAAAGATCAAAGATGCCACTGAAAAAATGATGGCTCTTGTCGCCGAGCTGTCCATGAAACAAGCTCTGGCCATTGAACTCCAAAAGGAAGTCAAGGAGAAAGAGGACTTCATTTTCTCTTGCAATTCCAGGATAGAAAAGGGTCTACCACTCAATAAAGAGATTGAGAGAGAATGGTTGAAGGTACTTCGAGATGAAGAAATGTATGCCGTGGCCATCGCCGAAAAGTCTCGGGTAAGTTTTGGCTTCTATGTTGCATTTGTAAAGTGGCCAGGAAAAGCTATTTTCCGGGGTTTCAATCCTTCCAAAATATATGAAAATTTTCCCACTCTACCATATACAGTCCCAACAGTCATAAGAAGTTTTGGTTTTTAAAGACAAGTCAAAAGTGCAATAGTGCAACATACCATAATATTCTCTGGAGAACACTTGGCAAGCACAAAGTTCCACCCCACAGTCTTACATCCTGGGCTGGTGTGGTTGAACACCATGGACTCCCACTGGTATGGCAATGACCAGGCTGGCATTGGTTTTAGCCATATGTCCCCAATCCCTGTCCTCACACCCTTCCTCAGACTACTCCTTATTTAACATGGCATATTGTGAGGCCCCCAGTGTATTACGGTTGTCATAGCCTTTTGCAGACTCTGCACTTGGTGCACATTACAGACCTCAATGCTGCCCTTTTTTCCTCCTGCCACTAGCCTAAGTCTGTGTCTATTGCTGATTCCACCTGCAAGTTGGATGCCCAGTTCTTCTGCCTACTCCCATGAGCTTTCAATATTTCTTAGAATAGAATTAGGCATCTCTTTCTAAGGAAACTGCATCTTGGGGACCTACAACTCACTCTCAGACCATCAAGTAGACATCCTCAAAAAGATCACCATTTACTCCCTAACCCAAGAAAAAAGGTACATTCCCCACACATAGTAGAAATATCTGAAAACAAGGTCTGATTTTTAATTCCCACATTGCCTGGGACTATATTTTTTAAGGCATTCACGTCTTACCTATGGCTCACGTCTTGGCTGTCATTTACCTGTCTCCATTATTTAGAATTCTTTTTAATGCTATCAGAGATGCATCTATTTTTCAGAAGCACAGGCAAAAGGATCTTGAAGACCTGGAGGCTCAAAGCAAGCTGCTGACTACTTCTCTGATTCTTCTTTACTCCTTATCTCTTCCTTAGTAACATTTGCTCACCAATGACTTACCAAAGGAAATAGATAGTCCTATACCTTTGTCAAAAACAAAAACATGGAAATAATTAGTGCCTTATGAAAAATATTGAGGTTAGAATATAGTGAATTTAGAACCCACCAGCCATTTGATGATAAACCCTAAAACCCAGAAACAGTGTTGCTTTAGCAACATAGGTCATTGCAATGATATACAACATGTGAGTGGGAGTGTGTGTGTGTGTGTGTGTGAGAGAGAGAGAGAGAGAGAGGGAGAAATGGAAGGAGGGAGAGAGGAAGGTAGGGAAGGAGGGAGGGAGGAAGAGAGAGAGAGAATGTGTGTGTGTGTGTGTGTGTGTGTGTGTGTGTTTGGTGACTTCATTCTCATGCCCTCCTGTCCTTTTGGGGAGTATCAGCTAACACAGTTTAAGACTGCTCAGACCCAGCTGTGTCTGGTGGGCCCTGGGGATAAAGTGACTTCATCAGAGTTTTCAAAAAACTGAAAAGGAAAAACCATTTTTTGCAGGAATTTTTGGAAGCAGATAATCGCCAGCTGCCCAATGGTGTTTACACAACTGCAGAGCCACGTCCAAATGCCTACATCCCAGAGGCAGAGGCCACTCTTCCTTTGCCAAAACCATATGGTGCTTTGGCTCCTTTTAAACCTAGTGAACCTGGGGCCAATATGAGGCATATAAGGAAACCTGTTATAAAGCCAATTGAAATCTGAGTATGTACACCAACCCAAGCTTCTCAAGGAGACACTTCGACACATCCGCAGCAGGAAAATATCAGCAGAATAGCTCTGAATTACAAATACAGCATCCACGATTAATCACCAACAGAGGACAACATGGTTTCCTTTTGTACTAAGTACTATATTTTACAGGATGTTAAGTAGGACACAGAATTGTCCTACAATTATGTCAGAACATTGATTTGTATTGCTCATTTCCTTCTTTTTCACTCTATATATTGACTACCTTTCAGAAATATATAGTAAGCCAGGTACCATAAAAATACAATAAAAAATATTTTCAATGAAGTATAGAAATCAGCAGAGTGGTCTTTTTTTATTGAAGAAAAAAAAACAAGCAAATGTTATTCAATATACTGACTTTAAAGCTGGAATGACTGAAAAGGAAAATATTCCAGGTATCACAGGGTCTTAATTTACTTTGTTAAATAAATAGTTGCATTTTAAGTTAATGTTGGTAAATCTGAATCAAGTAAAAACAAAATAATAGGGAAACTTGTTATTTTAAAAATAATGTTGTAGTGATTCTTTTTATAAGAATCCTTTTGCTGCAAAAATAATTATGTCCTAATATATCTTTCTTATAAATCTAAATTTTTCACAATGTTGTATGCAAATAAACTCAATTGTTTTAAGTTCTGATACCAGATTTTTCAAAATTCAATTAACATATTTATAACTTGGCATGTGAGAGTGTTGAAATTCATGCCAGTTCTTATTACTCTAATTTCATTGCACTTCACCCAAGTATATTCCTAATTCTGTTTTTATATTTCCTCATGCGTACACAAGTAGATTTGAAACCTGTGACTTTACTTTAATATACTCAAACTATATTTCATACTGATATCAGTTATGAATTTTATTTCACAATTCTGGGAGTGAGAAATACCACATTCCTTTATTTTGCTAAAAAAAATGAAATTTGTTTCAAGCCCTCCATCCTGCCAGATTGCAGAGAAATTTAATCTCATCTCAATCTACCAGTCTGGAACCTAACCTATTGCTTGGTGAAGTTACTGAAAAGCAGTTCTTGAGGAGTGCCCGTGCTATGTAACGCTGTATAAGCCATGTAGTTAATACAAAGAATGCTGCATAAACACAGTTCCTATGTTGTAGGAATTAGTAATCACATTAAGGATTCAAAAAAGATGCAGATAGGAAGCTTAACAACATAAGAATGGAAACAATTTTTAAAAAATCACAAAGGGATGAATACTTAATTATTATGACTGTGTGCTACTGGTTCAGAGGGGGAAGGTGCTACTGTGTGCTGGAATGGCCAGGGATCACAGTCAGATAGAACTTTTTCCCTGGCCCTTAAGAAAAAATAAGATTTTAACGGGTGGAGAGGGGATTCTAGGTGAGGAAAATAGCCTGAACAAGGTTTGCAAGTTAAAAGACAAAAGTTGTGTTCAAGACCCAGTGAACTGGGCTGGCCGGAACAGAATGTTCATGTTGGGGAACTGTCTGAGGCCAGGATTAGGGAGACCTTGAATGTGAGCTTGGATTTTTTCCTTTAATGAAAAGCAAGTTAATGACAAATTGTGAGCAGAGGAGTAACAGGATCAAACTAGTGTTTATCTCAAATATAAGTCAGATAAATTACTTTAGAAAGCAAATCAACCAGGTGTGAAAAGAGGGTAGGGCATGAAAAATAATGACCTTATCAAGAGAAAAAAATCAACACTGCCTTGCTGATACAGCTCTAAGATTTTGAGCCTCAGTGACCATGAAGTATTTGACCAAAAATGGGAATTCTGTAGGAGAGGACAATTTTGAGAACACAATGATGATATTAGAAAAGAAGTTGAATTAATATATCAGCTAGTGATATGTATAGTGATTAAAGTTTCACAGGGTCACTGAGGGAAACAGTGTGAAAAGAGGAAAAAAGCAAAGAGTGATGGGCTGCCCCCAAGCAGTAACTGTATTTGTGGATCAGAACAAAGTCGCTGTAAAAGAGACAGGAAAAAGTGGGAGAGCTAGTTAGATGTTATGGGGTCCTCTGGGGAAACATGTTCATGGACTCATGTTTCCAGCTGGAAAAAAAAAAGTCTCTGTTCGAAGAACAAAAGAGTCAGGCCAAAACTTGCAGTGTTTTGTTTTTTTAAGATATTTCTAAAGCAAACATTTATAAATACAAAAAGCTTACAATATTAAATATAGTTCCATCTGAACCATCACAAAGACAAATCCTACTCTAAATATTGTATATACAAACTGCTGAGTGTTATAAATTATTCTATACTGGAAATAGCAGATTTGACTTAATCCGAATTCAGTTTTTTAAAAAGTATCCTCTTTCCAAATATGGTTTTTATGCAACATTTAAGTTTTCTACTTGTCATATGTTATTGTTGATGACACATCCAGTTTCCGTTTTTCTAAGCATTTTTCTCTACATTTATAAAACCTATTTTATTTGAGTGCAACAGAAACCAGCTTTTGGCCTATGAAGCCACTAGGAAGATAAGCCCCTAGGAAGAGCATCATTTATGCCATTGCCTGCCACCTTGGACAGTTTGTCATTTCTCCACATCTGCTGTTAAAAACTGGGATGAGGTACAGCAGTTTAGTTCCATCTAAACTGCTGAACAAGTACCAAACTGAAATTCAGATGGGTCAACAATGTATTCTGATTTTGGCCACCAATTTCAATTATTGCCAAAGAATTCTCACTAGAAGTAGAGCTATGAACAAGATTAAAAATTGGAAGCTGATATAATTATATTTTCTTTTTCATAAGCCTAAAAGCATTGTGGTGTGTTTCAGAGCTGCTTCCTCCACAAATTTTGCATCCACATTGTCATGTCCTTCAAAAGTATACAGAGCTGGATAAAAAAGAGAGAAAGAAAAGAGTTATTGTGAAGCCTTGGAATATTTATAATGCTGTGCCCACAGCTCATTGAAATAATTATTTAATATTTTAACAAAACACATTATTCTGAGAATGTGTTGTTAAAATTTATTAAACCTCAGCACCAAGAAAGGTCATTCACATCAACCAAATAGGTTTTTAACCACTTAGACCCTTTTAAAACCTCAGAGGTGATTTTTTCTTTGGTAATTTAACTTACTCTAGGTAAACTATATATTGCTAGGAAAAACCAATTGCAATAAGAACCTACTTATAAGGGGTATTTTGGAAAGAAATGGGTACACAGAAGTGAATAGGGACTGATTAATGTGTCAAGGGTAAAGCAGAAAAACTCAGAGAACAGAGGAATGCATTACCTTGATTGGAGGATTCTATATCTGTCAATGTTGCAATGAAGTAGTTCAGAGGCAGAAATTCTATACTGAATGATGACTTGTCAATCATAGAACTCTGAGGCTAAAAAGGAAACTGCTTCCGTATTAGTTGACTCCAAAATAAGTACGAACTTTTTTTAAAAAGTGGCAAGAACTATAATTGCTCTCCATATAGATATGCTAAAATAAGCAAATAGTATCCAAGAAACATTTAGTGGGGCTGTGCTTTCATACCAACTCACCTGTTTCTTATAGTTCTGAAGCAGTCGCTTCACGTGGTTTCGGGAAATAATGTTAGAACTCATAGGATGATCCCAAAGTCGACAGATCTTCTGACCAATAACCTATAATGCAAATTGAAAATAGGTCAAGGAGAATTTTTAGGGCAGTGAAAATACTCAATATGATCTCATACTGATGGCTGCATCTCATACGTTTATCCAAACTCATAGAATGAATGACACCAACAATGAACCCTAAAGTTAGCTATGGACTTTAGGTGATTGTGATGCATCAATGTAGGTTCATTAATCGTAACAAATGGACCATTCTGACAGGTGATGTTGATGATGGGGGAGGCTATGCATGTGTGCAGGCAGGTGGTATATGAGAAGTCTCTGTACCTTCCACTCAATTTTGCTGTGAACCCTAAACTACTCTAAAAGATATAGTCAATAATAAAAAAAAAAGGATGGAAAAATATATATTTGAGAATATAGTGCACACTGCATTAAGTAAATATACTTTATATCAATTCACAATTTAAAAAATATTATTCCAAAGTAGCTAGTTAGTCTAAAAGGCCCTTTATGGTTAATGACCTTTGGAGAAAGGCCATTACCTAGGAGGTATGCTTCTGAATTTTGAATATATACTTAGTTAAATGCAACCCTAAGAAAAGAAGTTTATATACTGATGTTGCCAAATTCTTTTTCGGAAATGGAGTTCATCTGCTACTCTTAGAAAGTGGGGGTTTGAATGCCAACACTAAATGATATTTTGATAGGAAACTAAAGGTTATAGGCATGTTCTCTGCTAATGTCTTGCCCAGAAAATTTTAATTCCCTAAGAGTATGAGGCAAAAAAAAAATCTAATTTAGAGACCAATCTAAATGTTTGAAGACAATCCCCAAAGAGATCTAGTCATGGAAAATATGCTTTTTATTGTTCTTGCTTTTGCTTTAGTGAGCATGCAAGGGGGAAAGGGTACTACAAAGCAAGCTCATTAGGTCCAGAAAGGCAATGGATATCCCTCCGCGGGAGGATCATGCCAGAGATACAAGTGCACAAGGTATGTAAACATGCACAGAGTTGGCCACACTCTCAGAGTCAAGAAGTTTGAGGAGTCAGAGGCTCTGAAGACCTTGCTGTGGAATTTCATGTTTTCATAGTATTTTTGACTCTGAGAGCTAATATCTCCCACAGAAACAAGGAGTGCTTGTATAACCCTTTCTCTCATGTTTCTCATTCTTCCTTCGACCTAAGAATGTTTTCCTGCCCTGGTGGAAATGACAGTGGGAGGAAATGCAGTTCCAGAACTTTCTGACCTCACCTGTATTTAACTTTCTTATCAGTTTAAATGCCAAAAGCACATGTTTCCCCTCTCCCTCCCCTCAGACTCACAGATGTATTAGTGCAGCTTCCTAAGAAGAGAAAAACGTCTGATTTAGGTGGGCTGTGCCAAGCCAGTACAAAGCCAGAGGAGCAAGCACTTTGGAGGCCAGCGAGGAGCCACAGACAGAGGGTGGGGATGGATGGGATTTCTTGGAAAGGGCTGAAAAGTGAAACAATTTAATTGACTTTAGCCCAAATCAAGTAAATGCTCTTTTTGCAAGAAGAAATTGAGGGAGGTTCATGCTAAGGCTTAGGGAGAAAATAAAATATAATTCAGGATTACCGGAGGAAGCCGCACAATGATGCTGAATTTTAGTTTTTCATTTTTCTCTGTGTTGTCCAGATCTACGAGAAAGTTAGATTGGCAAACAAAACAGAAATCTCTGTTTTAATAATTCTTGCCTTTAACAAGGCAAGAATACTTCGGTGCTTCACCCTAACACATATCCCAATTTTGTATTCTCAAACTAAATCTAACAACTGCGAAAATTTTAGTTTGTGTCTCTCTGAATAAAAGGCATTTTTAAATGAAGCTGTTGATATATATCATGGAACAGGCTGCCAGTCACAAAAAAAATTTTACTAACTTAAAACAGAAGCACCTTGAAGAATTGGAAATATTTTAATGTATATTGACAAAACTCTTCTATAAAATACCACGACTGAACCACTTAAGTGAGAGTGATTAATAAACTACAGACCTTATTTAAAGTTCAAATTCACTTAAGCACTGCATTTCTAATTTTTCTTGCATTTCAAGTCTAACTGCAATGATAGAATTAAACAGCTGAAAGTAAGCCATTTTATGACATTTTCCTGAGAAACAAGCCTTCAGAGTCTCCTATCCTTAAGTGCCCTCATGTAAAGAAAAGAAACCTACTAGCTGTGTGTGGATTGAGAAGCCATTTGGGGTCCCTTGAAGGGAAAAGTCACTTTCAATTAGCATGAAGGATGGTTACAAGAAATGAACTGTCCTCAGAAGGACCAACTGTATAATCTGTGGCACCCAATGCAAAAAAAACAACAAATTAAGAGCCCATTGTTCAAATATTGTTTCAGGATTTGATGCAAAGCATTAAACTAAGTATGGGGCCCTTTTGAGTGTGGCAGGGTCTTGTGTGACCCAGTTCACAACCCCTCAAAGCCAGCCCTGGTGGTACTCAGAGTAGAACTTGCACTCTGGCAAACTAAGAGCCTCTTACCTTTCATGAGCCTTATGACAGCTGTTTCTGTGAGAAGCAACACTCCATTATCAATGTAATGCAGCAGGCTATGCAAAGGGAGACAGTGGACACCAAGGATCGTGTGCAGAGTATGAAAACCTAGGATGAGAAATCCAGGAGAGTAGATAGAGTCAGCCAGCATCTCTCGACTTCCAGACAGATGGAAATTGATGATGTTAATAAAGCACTTAGCTAAGTGCCTAGAGTCAAATAAATGCTGCTCGAAGACAAGGTCCAAGTTTCCTCCTTTATATTATCAAGACTAAGCATTGTGCTGGGTATAGAATAAGTTCCCAACAAGTATGTGTTCTCTTTACTTCGTGTCCCTTCCTAGGCAAAAAGAGAAAAAGAGTGCAAGGCCTGCTCCATGAAAAATAGTTCTACAGTTTAACAGGTTTGCAATTCTACGGTAAGTTGACAAAAGAGAACGATTTATAGACCTTCAAACTCCATATGCCCAGGATGAAAGGAATAGGGACCATTTTACTATAGAGGAAAAAATCTGGACCAGAAGGGGACAGACAGCTTATATGCCTGTTCTCTGGTAATTCCCTATGTAAAGGCTTTTAGGGTATATTTGGACTAAATTACATAAAAGAAGAATTAAAATGATATGGTCAGATAGTAAATCCATAAGAATTCAATAGAGAGGAAGACATTCTCTCAAACCTCAGTCTCATGGAGAGGAATCCTCAAATACTCAGAAACCTAGTGCTCTAAGGGCACTATTACTAATAAATGATAAAACAACATTCAGACCAGAAGAGAATCAAAAAAGCCTTCTTGGAAAAGATGGCATGTGAGAAGATCTGTGAAGGGTAAATTCAATTACTGAGGGTGGAAATGAGACAGGAGAATATACAGAGGAGAGACATTAGAAAAAGCTAGGTTCGCATGAACAGGCCAAGGCTGGAAACCTGCCATGCTGCTTACTAGCTGCAGATATAATTAAGCCTTTGTGAGCCTCATTTCCTCAATCCTCAGATGGAGCTGCCAGTACTTTTCCTGGAGGGCTACTTTGAGGACCTGAGCTGGTCTATAATGAGCATGGCCCAGGGTATAGCATCAGTGACTAACATCAAATGTGTACTGAAGCCTTCAATCTACACATTGGCTCACTTGATCTTCATACAACTCTCTGATGTGAGAACCACCTGATTCTCAGTTTATAAATGGGGAAACAGTCACAGGAGCTACAAAACTCACCCAGTTTCAGCAACTCATCATATCGATAGTAAGTGGCAAGAGTGAAATATGGACACAGGCTGTAGCCTAGGCTTCTAACCATAATATGATCCCGCCCCAATGACTGGTAGCTGTGTTAACAGAACAATAATAACAGAGGCCCAAAGGCGAGAAAGTATGGGTTATATTCAGAAAATATTAAGTGGTCTGGCTGAGTTAAAAATCAAGTATGCGAGAGGAATGATAGGAAGTAAGATCAAAAAAGTTAATTTAACAAATCCCTTCCATACACCAGGCAAGGGACTGAGAACAACAATGAACAAAACAGATACAACTGCTACTCCCATCTACCTTCCAGTCTGATGGAGAGACAGATGATCAAATAATCACAAACATGAATATATATTTATTAATGTGACCAGTTATATAAAAGAAAAGTGCAGGGTGCTCCAAGTACTTGTGACAGAGATTGAATGCTGAATGACAGAAAGAATTTATTATTTAGTAGACTTGGGGGAGGGACTGAAAAGTTTTTAAGCAGGATGGGAAAAGGATTTGAGCTTTACTTTTGGAATATTAAAACAGCAATAAGCAAAGAATGGACTAACATACCAGTTTGCTACAGGAGGTACAAAGACCTGTTGGGAGGCTATGGCATGAACCTGTGCAAGAGATAATGAAGCCATTGATGCTGAAAGAGGAGGGAAGGGGCAAGAGAGGCATGGCAACAGTACAGGCTTGGAAACTACTGGGTGGGGGAGGGAATGACAAAGAATCACGGCCTAGTCTTACGTGACAAAGAAATCATTTCCAAAGAGCATGAACTTGAATTCAGACAAATCATGGGGTTTTCTCTCTCTGAGCACATGAATCATAAGTGTGAGGGACCTGAGTCCCAAGTCCTGGCAACATCAAGGGTCAAATAAGGTACAGACTGCCTACTAGCAGATGTTAATGGGCTGACAACGGGTGAGTCCACTAGCTTCCCTGAATCCAAAAAACATAGTGATTTTACTAATTAACAACATGAGATTTTCCAAATGGATTAGGACATTCTTCCTAAGATTCCAAAAAGTTACAAAATTATTTCTGAATAAAAGGTGTCCTACAGACTCTGGACTCAAAATTCCTCTCCAGCCCTGTGTCCATGTCCTAAAGATCCCTGGTCTCTTCATCCTCTATCCCTAGGGCACAGTCCCAAATTCAACACTCAGTTCTTGGCCTCCTCTCTGCATGTCAGCGCTAAGCAACAGAGAAAATTGGCTAAAAGTAGGCATCAGTTCAGAAGTAGAGAGCTTTTCCAGCCAACTCATGTCCTCATCCTTTAGGGGTCTTGACCTCCTCTTGCCAGTGAGGGGAACACAGGTCCCTTTAAACTCCAAATGCTCCAGCTCTAAATCCTGACTTCTTTTTTGCAGTCCTCTTCCTTTTTTTCTTTAACCAATTTTGGTTATAAGTTGCTGATACTGAGAACTAAGACAGTTTTCGCTAGTCCAGTAGGCCTGGAAAGCATGTACATTTACACATGTACCTGAAAAAACATCCTGTATTTACACACACATGCATGCACACACATGATCCAACGTCAATTCACTTCTATTTCCATGTCAAGTGAGGAAAACAAATATTATAGAGAAAAGGATCAAAATTGCTCTTCCTTACTTGACCCACGGACACAAGCCATTAAGTCGACTCAAAGTAATTCTCAATCACTATGGATAATATTTTTCTGTATTTTCCCTCTTTATCCATCCCTGTGAAAGAATGCGATGTTCTGCAGAAAGTGAATTTTTATGATCTCTCAGGAATAATATTGTCCCTAGTAAGTCAGTTTCATTTATTTACAAAAGGAGCTTGAATATCCATGGTGAACAAATTTGAAAATATCAGCCCATTGCTCTACTAATTCTTTTGCATTAATCACAAATAATTAAGAATTTAAGCCAGAAATCCATCTATAGTTTTCATGCAGTCCCTTCACTCTTTCTAGAGGGCACCTCGCAATTCATATTTGATTGGGATCATTTAAAACTAACCATTCTCCTCAAGAATGGTCATTTTCAGATTCCTACATAGTTAAACTCCTTTTGTAATTCCACTACAAAGAAACCTTATAAGATGTGTAGATAGAGAATGTATGAAGGATTCCAAAATGTATCAGCTATATCACAAATGCAGAGACGTTGAAACATGCTATGGGGATTTTCTGGGCCCATAAATAGCCAAAGTTTCAGCATCAACTAATTCAACTGTAATATAAAATTCAAAAGGCAGCACAGAATAATTAAAAGCACAGATTTTGGAGCCAGACTGCCAAGGTTTTAATACTGATTCTGTTGCTTAATAGCTATGTGACTTTAGGAGAGTTACTTTTAAATTTTCTGTGTCTCAATTTCACCATCTTTAAGTGGAAATAATATTAAGTGAAACCATATGAAAGTGCCGTTTTTGTTGGTCATAATTTTAATGTGGTTCAATTTAAGCTCCCACCACTTAGGATTGTTATAAAAATTAAGTGTGTTTATTTATGTAAAGTACTTATAACAGTCCCTGGCACAAAATGGGTACCATAATATGTTGGCCTAAGATGAACAAATAAAAGAATGAATTAATGATGGGTGGATGGTTGGATATTTATGATTAATTAAATTAAACTGGCTAATATATTACCAATAAATTGACAAACAACAGTGTTGGCAAGGATGTGGAGGAAAGGGAACCTCATTCACTTTCGGTGGAATTGTAAATTGGTGCAGCATTATGGAAAACAGTAGAGAGATTCTTCAGAAAATTAAAAATAGAACACTATATGACTCAGCAATTCTACTTCTCAGTATTTATCTGAAGAAATCCAAAACACTAATTTAAAAAGATACATGCACTCCTATGTTCACTGCAACATTATTTACAATAGCCAAGATATGGAAACAACCTAAGTGTCTATCAATAGACATATGAATAAAGAAGAAGTGGTACATATATACAATGGAATATTAGCCATAAAAAAGGAATGAAATCATGCCATTTGCGACAACAGGGTATTATACTAGATGAAATAAGTCAGAGAAAGATAAATACCATATGATTTCACTTACCTGTGGAATCTAAAAAACAGAATAAACAAACAAATAAAACAGAAACAAACTCATAGATACAGAGAACTGATGATTGCCAGATGGGAGGGAGGTTGGGGGGAATGGTGAAAAAGGTGAAAGGGATTAAGAAGTATAAATTGCCAGTTATAAAAGAAAAGTCATGAAGATGTAAAGTGCAGCATAGGAAATGTAATCAATAATATTGTAGTAACTATGTTACAGTGCCAGATGGGGACTAAACATATCAGGGAGATCACACTGTCAGGTAAACAAATATCTGATCACTCTGTTGTATACCTGAAACTAATATAATATTGCATGTCAACTATAATTGGAAAAAAAGAATTATCTAAAAATATATTAAAAATTGGTATATCTATATATATATATCAATATTATGTGTGATAGTTATCATAAAGCTTACAACAGGGCTTTTATGTAATGAACATAAGGCAGGTAGTTTATAGCAAATAGGAGCTTATTTGTTTCTTATAATGATTACCAATTTATATGCACATCTTCCCAACTAGATTTTCGTTAATTTTTGTAACTGCTCTAATTTCTAGCACAGTATCTGGCATGTAATAATTGCTCAACAAATGTTAGTCGATTAAATGACCAATTAAATGAATGACTGTATACATATGTGTCAAGGGTGTTTTGCGGCCTGATTTGGTCCTATTTCAAAATCTTAAGGGAAATTGTAGGCTTCTAAGCATGTAAGCATCAGCTCAGTTTTGAAACTCAGCCAGACCCACTTCCTTCTGTGTGTTAACTTTCTTGATCAGATAAACGAGGCCTACAGATATCAGAGAAAGATCTCCTTGAATTAGCTCTGCTGGTTCAAAGTATCTTAGAAAGTTGCATAGGGGACAGTTTAGGCTCTCTAAAGTTAGTGACAAACTATAGTATAGTTTAATAATCAGGGGAGATCTGGTCATCAGAGACCAACCTCAGGCCCACCTCTCACAGTGACACAAGACATGCAATTTCTCAGACATAGGAGGTCTCATCCTTAAACTCATAATGTCCCAAAGTTCAGGGACCATGTGAAGAAGAAAGAACAAATTTATTACAATGAAGGATAAAAGAGCCAAGACTTACCAGGAGGCAGAGGTAAAAACAAACTGTTAGTAGCTTCTAAAATCCTGGTCATGATGTGGAAGACTGCAAATTCAGCAGCACTAGCCTGCCCATTGCTGGAGAAATACCAAAGCAGTGTGTCAGCCAGGGAGCTCATCTTCAAACACCCTTGTTTAAGCAGTGGTTCTGAGTACCACACGTACATGGAATCCATGCTAGTCATGAAAGGCTATGCACTACAGAAAGCCTCAAAAATAGGATGGTGACCATCAGCCTGATGCCTAGAATCTAAGCAGACAGCAGGCACATAAGTGAGAAATTATATTAACTTAAATTCCCCTCCATGGCAGTACTGAATTCATGTGCCCTTCCCTCTTCATCAGCC